AGATAAGACCACAAATTCAAGACATAAGGGGATTAGTAAGAAGGGCATGGGTGAAATGGCTACAGATACATATATGCTGAAATTAGCCAGTTTATTGTTTAGTGATCTGGTAGATAAATCCAAAGTATTAGATCTTATGACCCAAGTATATCGAGATTGTCTTTTTGGTAAAGAAGTATTCTACGCTAAGAATATAGGCATCTGATCAAAAGATCATGTACTATCCTTAGTTGAGTTTGAGAAAAAGGCTCTCGGTCTCTTAAATACTAAGTGTTAGTACCTAACAGATGAGGTATCTGAATTATCTTATGGACATTGGCATAATATGATTTATAAAAATATGATCAAAGATAGTATCCCTCATGAAGTGGCTGAAAAAAGAGCTATAAGGACTAAGCTTCCAGAGAAATATCAAAACAAATGTATATCTCACATATCTAGCTTACCCCAATAAGCTACTAGTGAAAGAGTATTATATATCTCCTATAATCTTGACTGAAGGAATGTTATTGTTATATATTTTTTTCTTATATAATAAATATTTGATTACAGAATACTTTACTATAATGGAATGTAAATAAGAACAAATATCTAATAGCACATATAGCAAGTATGAGAAAGGCATGTAAAAAAGCTAATAAAGTTATCAAAACTTGATCATTATATAAGAGCATCTCCAACAATTGGTAAAAAATCCAATATTTTTATTGGAGAAATTATAGCATTAATGATAAAAGTGGATAATCTTAATTCTCAGTTCAAAAGGCTTAAAAGAACTGTAGACTGAATAGGAAATTATATAGAAGAGCAAACTGGTCTAGAACCTGGTAAAGAGTTAACAGATTCATCTAAATCCGATTTAGATTAAGAATCAAAGGTGTTTAATAGTATCCATAAATAATGTATATGTAATTTGGTCACATGATACTGCTCCCTTAGGGCTCAGTGTCAGATGACATCTAACGGAAGTCCACATGATGTCACATGATCACGCAGTTATATTCAGGCGATCTAATTGGCTAAACATAATATAGAATATATATTTTTTTGTCCGAACTTTGAAGGATAATATCTCGACATCTACTGATTGGATTTATGCGGATTTAGGCTTGTTGGAAAGATCGATCATAACCTACTGAATCCAAAAGTTCAATCCTCATCAATATTGGGCTGGTAGATGTCGAGATATTTGCGTTTCAAGATCGTTACAACAAATCAGACTTTTATGGCTGATTATTATTATAAGAAAAATATACTGCGCCACTGTGACTATGGTGGTCACACCTCTTCTAACAAAAATAAAAAATTTTTATTATACCTAGTTTTCATACAAATAAAGATGATTCTGTTATCCAAAAAAAAATATACGTTCCAATCATATATTCATAGTTCCATCCTAAATCAGTTATAAATCTATGCCAATAATAATTGAATAGGTATAGTCACTTCTCGTAGGCAGTCAGTCACTTTTCGTAAGCACTGATTATTTCTTTTCATATGCTTTCTTAATTTACAAGGATAACGAAATACCTTAAAACAATATATACATATCTGATTATCTAACTTTTTTCTAAATCCTCCTTCTCTATAGTAAAGATATTACGCTGAGATTTGTGAACTGATAAGGGGATGATAATAGTCTTTCCATTACATGTAGCCTTAAATTCTCTTTTTATTAAAGGCTCCCATCCAGCTCAATATTGTCATTGAGTACCAAGAATTACTAAAGATTTAGCATTTCCATTATAATTCTTTTCTGCAGGCACAACAGAAATATCATCCATAATATTAGCTGTATTATCTCCAAAACCAATTGTTATGGAAATATCATCCATAGTGCCGATGGATATAGATTGACTTGCAACTCCATTAAGCCTATGAATTTTTTCCTACTAATTTTAATACCTAAAAGCTCTTTAACAAGTTCAGCAATATTATCTAAAAATATAGATGAATCAGAGCCTGTATCAATCATTGCACAAGGTATTACTAAACCTCCTATTTTGCAATAAATAGTCGCAACATCATCAGCATCCTTTATTTGTAAAAAATTTATCTCTAAAGGCTTAAGCCAATATATTTGATTATTTTTTTTTCAGCTAAATGACATTGTGTATATGCCTTAATTGCATAGTTTAGAGTATTAGAACCTAGTGATATTATATCATTCATAGGATCATTTGACTTAATCCCTCTAGGACTCTCTAGCTTTTCTTCTATCAGGACTTGAATAAAAGGTTTTTGCTCTTATTTGTAGCTTGGATTAGTGAATGTAAAACGTCTATAATTTTATTTGTAACATACCCCTATACATTTTCCCTTTTCATGACAGTATCATCCTTCATAGCTGTATTCAGAATCTAATCTTTTAATTTAGGGTATATTGTATTAATATATTGTGAGCCTTCCATAAGAATTTCTTTAGGAATATGTTGTACAACTGATGATAATATAGATTTTAAGGCTATTAGAAAAACATAATCTACAATCATCGTTATAGATGCTGAGGGTTCTACTTTTTTACGAGACTTGGAAATAGGGGATTCCTTCTTGTGAGTCTTTTTCATAGGTACTGCACTTCGTACCACTTTTTTTTTATAACATAGCAGTTTCGGTTAGAATTTTAATTTGATCTTCTTGGTGACCTTTTTCTTAGAGGTGTTTAGAGTAGAATTATTATCATCAACATATTCGTCATCTTCTTCTACTTCCTCCTCAAGTATGTATTCTATTTCATGCTCTTCGAGAATTTCCTCCTCAAGTACGTATTCTATTTCAGGCTCTTCAGAATTATCAGAGAGTTCTCTTGTGATCAGATCTTTCTCAGCATTTTGGTATACATAATTAACTTTTTTAGTTGTCTTAACTTCAGGACAATTAGTCTTTATATGGCCAGCCTTTCTACAGACTGAGCAAAGGTGAACAAAACGTTTAACTGGTGCTTTTTGTTTTACCTTTCTAACAACTTTCTTTGTAGCATTAACACTTCTAGGCTTAAAAGGGCTCTTTCTTACATGAGCTGTTCTGCTTTCCAATTTCTTTTGAAGATCATCATAGATAAATTGTTCTAAAGTTGCGTCATCTATTGCTATTCCTGTATATTGCAAATCTCTTGCAAGTCGAATTTTAAAATCATCTTTTTGCGATTGAGTAGTTAAAGTCTGAGAAGTGGGAAGTGCTTGCTCTGCAATTTTTCCTCTACATTCTAATCAAATTTGTCGTAGATTTGTGAAAAAAGCATCTAAATTGGCTGGATTAGCTTGTTTAAGTCTCATTTCCATATATTGTGTCATATGATTATAAAGATAAGACAATACATCTGCATAAGGAATACCTTGCGCATATGTCTTGATTCTTTTCTCATAAGTATCTGCTGTATCTATTGTGAAAATTTTTTCATTCATAAGTGATCTTAGTGCGTCTTGATTAATTCTAACCATTACTTCCCAATATTTGCCTTGTAACCAATTCAAGCTCTCTGCCTCATTATTGATTGGAGCATTAGCATTATATGAATTGTTAACAGGAACTGGGTGGAATCTACCTGTCATCTTTTCTCTTATTTTATTAGATCTTACAAGGGGATTAAAACCTGCAACAGCCAATGGTCGGGCTAATTCGTTAATATTTCTAAGTTTAGCATAATATGAATCTGGTTCTTCTTGACCATCATAAAATGGAATAGTTGAATAAGGTGGGGTCACAAGTTTGTTTACATGTACCATAGTCACCATGTTTGGAGGATTTATTTGTAAATTCAAAATAATTTGTCTCAAATTTATTTCTCTAGCTTTCCATTTTTGATATCGATTAAATACCCAAGCTCGATTGAATTCTGCTAAGTCAGCCTCAGCTTTATGTCTTCGATTTATTAGTCGAAGGCCTACCTTTTCTTGCAATAACATATGGTTACACCTTTCTACTCTTTGAGTCCTAAGTCACCATACCCAACGCTCATTTGCTTTATCATTTAGAGCTTGTGTTAGCATTTGATTATCATTTTGTGACCTAGCTTGGGCTTCTTGCAATTATTGCCTTAGAGTTCTAGCTCATCAAATACTTTGTTCTACTACCATATTCCGATCTTACCAAAACCGACGAATTGTACCAGTATAAGTAATAATATTAGCCAAACATGTTCCAACTCTATCAAATTGCCCTCTTATATCATCTGGAAGTATAACCCCTGCATTATCCAAATGTATTTGAATTCTTGCTAAAGAAGCTGAAGCCTC